TGCTGCTGCCTTTGCTGCAGATTCGGTCAAACGGCCTTGTTGCTGTGCTGTTAGACGGGGTTTACATGCATCTTGCGCAGCAGCAGCAGCTGCAGCAGCAGCAGCAGCAGCAGCAGCTGCTGCAACACCAGCAGCAGCTGGATCCTTCCTTCGTGCTGCTGAGGCTTTCTGACTTTGCTGCTGCAGTGCTGCAGAAGCACCTGCCATCCCCTCTAGATTTGCTGCTGCTGCAGCACCTGCAGGAGGAGGCTGCAGCACAGCCTCCCGCTGACAGCAGCAGCAGCAGCACAGCAGCAGCAACAGCAGCAGCAGGTTTGCCGCTGCTGCTGCTGCTGAGGGTCTTGTGCTTTTCAGGAGGTTTGCTGCTGCAGCAAGATGCAGTGGTGTCTCGGCTTTCTCCGCAGCTCGCATGCAGGTACTTGCTGCTGCTGTTGCTGCTGCTGCTGCTGCTGCTGCTGCTGCTTGCTGCTGCTTGCTGCTTCTTGCTGCTGCTGCTGAATTTGCTGCCCAAAGTACAGCGTGTGGCCTCACTGCAGGCATCCCCCTTCTGGCGCAGCTGCTGCTGCCTTTGCTGCTGCTGCTGCTGCTGCTGTTTTCGCTGCTGCGGCCACTGAATCTGCTGCTGCTGCTGCTGTTCTTCCCAGTACCCATGCTGCTGCTGCTGCTGCTGCTGCTGCAGGCTGCTGTTCGTTCTTGCTGCTCTTGAATATTGGGCAGAGAGGGCCCCCGAAACCCTAGGGAAGCCTCCAGGGGCCCCCCGGGGGCCCCCCCTGGCAGGGGGGCCCCTGGGGGCCCCCCGGGGGCCCCCCCTGGCAGGGGGGCCCCTGGGGGCCCCCCGAGGGGCCCCCCTGGCAGGGGGGCCCCTGGGGGCCCCCCGGGGGGCCCCCCTGGAGGGGCCTCCAATGAGTTTAGATATATTTTCGAGGGTTTTATCTTTTGCTGATAGAGACAGAAAAGAAGTTTCGTTTTTATTTGGGGCTTTGTTTGCTAAGTAGGCCCTAAACCCTAAACCCTAGATCTTAAACCCTAAACCCTAAACCCTAAACCCTTAATGTTAAGCTCTAAACCCTAGCCCTTAAACCCTAAGCCTTAATCCTAAACCTTAAGCCTTAAACCCCAACCCCTTAAATCTAGCTCCCAAACTTTAGACCCTTGGTGTTAAACCCTAAACCCTAAACCCTAAACCCTAACCCCTAATGTTTCGACCCTAAACCCTAAACCCTAAACCCTAACTCCTGAAGTTTGGACCCTAAACCCTAAACCCTAGGGCTTCATTGCGCACGATTGATATAGCGCAGCACGCCGTAAAAAGTGTCTGGCCTGCAGCAACTGACTTTGCTGCTGCTGCTGTTGCTGCTGCTGCCACTGCTGCTGCTGTTGCTGCTGCTGTTGCTGCTGCTGCAGGGCTTGCGAACTCGAAGCTGCAGCACCAGATGCAGCAGCAGCAGCACTAGCGCTTTTGGCCGCCGTAGCTGTCCGTCAGCAGCAGCAGCAGCGGCAGCAGCAGCAGCATACCCAGCAGCAGCAGCAGGAGCTCCAGCAAGAGCAACCTCAGCAGCAGCAGCAGCAGCAGCAGCAGCAGCAGCAAACAGAGGCCGTTGGTTTGGCCTTGCCGCTGCTGCTGAAGCGCCGCGGCTGTTTGTCGCTGCAGCAGCTCGTAATGGTATTTTGCTGCTGTTGCTGCTGCTGCTGCGTTTGCTGCCGTTGCTGCTGCTGCTGCTGAGTTGGCTCTTGCTGTAGCTGCTGCTTCTGGGGCAATTTTCGCTGCTGCTGCTGCTGCTGCTGCTGCTGCAGAGGAATTGCTGCATGTGTTTGCGGTGTACGTACAGCTCCTGGAGTGTATGCTGACCTTGAGAGTCCAACACGAGCTGGCAGCAGATGTTTTTGCTGCTGCTGCTGCTGCTGCTCTTCCGCAGCAGGACTTTAGTGCTGCTGCTGCGGCTTCTGCAGCAGCAGCAGCAGCAGCAGCAGCAGATGCTCCCTTTTGGACGCTTCGCGCCTTTTCCGTTGGGCTCAAGCTGCTGCTGCAGCACCAGCAGCAGCAGCAACTGCAGCAGCAACTGCAGCAGCAACTGCAGCAGCTGCAGCAGCAGCAAAGCCCTTTCCTGCAGGAAGCAGTAGTGTCATTTTTCTGCAGCGGTCAGATTTTCTGCCATCTTAGAATGCTGCTGCTGTTGCTGCTGCTGCTGCAACCGTTGCTGCTGCTGTCGCTGCTGCTGCAACGGTTGCTGCTGCTGTTGCTGCTGCAGCAGTTGCTGGAGCAGCTGCCACTGATGCTTGCTTTGTGGTTGCTGGTGCATCTGCTGCTGCTGCTGCTGCTGCTGCTTTGTATGCTGAGTGCGGCTTTTCTTTGCTTTTGCTGCAGCACTGGGAGCAGCAGCAGCTGCTGCAGCAGCAGCAGCAGCAGCAGCAGCAGCTCCTGTAGGCAGTTCTTCGGAAGGCTGGGGCTTTAAGGGACTGCTGCTGCGGCGCCTTGCAGCCACAATTAATGAGCAGATAA